TAACATTGTTAAAAAACATTGTTACTCTTTGAAAATATCAAAACTTGATGGCGATGCTGGAAGGTAGTGAAGTTTTATTTTAATTCTTTAATTTTTATTTTTATTTTATTATTTTGATTTATTTTATTTAATTATATTTAATTTTTTTTATTTCTTACAATTCTCATTTAAATAAAAAAAATTAATTATTTTTATGTTTCTATTATTAAAAAAATATGATTTACTTATTAATATATGGAAACGGTAGGGACGGGAGGGACCGTCCCTACCGTCAAAACTAGTGTTCAATCATTACACTTAAGTGACTATATATAAGACTATATTATAGTAGCTATTAGTTATATAATAAATTTATTTTAAAAAACCTCTCAAATTAAACACATAACTTTTTACCTTAATATTATATTTTCGTGACTGATTAACCGTGTGAAAGTTATTAGGGATCGAATGGAGATGTAATTATTTAGGTTGAAATTGTAATAACGAAAAGTAAAACTTTAATAAAATCATGTTTAAGAACATGATTAACAAATATCGGTCAAAAGTCTACTTTTATTTTCTTTTCCCCTTTCTTTTCTCTTCTACCTGTTTTGCGGTCGTCTTCTTCCCTTCAACTCTGTCTTTTTTTTTTTTTTTTGTTTTTTTTTTTGTTTTCACCTTGTACTTCTTTCTCCTCCCCTCTTCTTTTTAGTTCTTTCAATCCCTTTATTTTTTCTAATTTCATCAGTATTATATAAACATGCACATCTGAATATCCGATTCAATTTCGATAAAAACTTCCATGTATGGAACCAAATTTGTTAAGATGGACAGACCCGAAAAAGATGTAATCGGATTTGCAATTGAATCCTCACCGGTGAGAAGTGGCCTGGTGGGTTACTACTTTAGACCCACTAAGAGAAGAGAACGATCTTTGTTTTCCGGCCCTCTCTCCGCCTCTTTTAGGTTGGCTGCAGGCTGTTTTATTTATACCACAACTTCCTCACCATCCTTCTCATAGGCTTCTTATTCTTTTGAATTAAGAGAGCCAAAAACTTCTATCGAAACATACGAGATCGAAGGAGCAGGCTAGTAGCTGGAGTTTTTATCCATTCGAGTGAGATGGATAAAAGGTTTTACCTGTTAAACAAGTTCAAGTCACCTCGGAGCATTTTGAGAGGGATGCTATTTAAGTTAAGATCATTTTGGAATTATACATATATCAGATTAATATTAGAAGAATGCAAATATGTGGGATAATTGATTTGATTTTTTCTAATAAAATAAGTTTACATTTTTTATGATATCACAACCCTTAAATAAGTTTACATTTTTTTTATCGTCAAAACAGATGTCTTAAATTGACATCACAACATTCAGATATGGGGTAAAATGACAAAAGGACCACACGCAACCAGGCTTAGTAGGGGTGGGCGCGGTCTGGAACGGTCCTGTAAATTAGTAAAACCCGTAATGTATCCGTGAGGGTTTTAACGGTCCGGTACGGTCCGGTTTCAAGGATGGAACCGTTCGGTACCATTTCATTTCGGAACGGTACAAAACGGTACGGTACAATGCCAAACACATGCTAACAAATTTGAGCAAAACTTGCAATTAGTAGATATCATCAAACCAACCAACTCACATGAAATGTTGATATAAATACAAGAAATAGCATATATAGGACTAAAATTCACAAATAAACAAATAGTGCAACACAAATAGTGCAAAACGATGACGCACGAGATAAATATCATCCTTAATTTACTTACTTGACTTTGATTTTTCCATTTTTAGTCCTTGACTATTGCGCTAGAGACACTTTTGGTATCCGTCTTTGAAAATTTCAATATTTAGTCCTTCAATTTTCATAAAAGTGACACTTTTGGTCCTTCATCTATTATAATAGTGATATTTTTAGTCTTCCACTTATTGTATCAAAATCATAATATGGGAGGATAAAAAGTGTCAATTTGACAATACTCAGAGACTAAATGTGAGAAATCTTGAAGTCGGGGACTAAAAGTGTCTCTAGCACAATAGTCGAGGACTAAAAATGAAAAAATTAGAAATCGAGTCCAAAAAGTGTCATTGACATAATAGCCGGGGACCAAAAATGGTAAAACCTCTAATTGAATTCATGAAAGAAAAAAGAGGATAAAAAATACAGAACAATTCACAATCAGAACATTTTCATTATCAGAAACTGGGACAGAAGCATCACAAATAACAAGAACATTACAGGCAACATTAGTATTGTAGAAATTGTCATAGTCAACCTCATGTGGAGTCCCCTTAATGAGTGAATTAGAAATGGCCATGTTATTGTTGACAATTGGGGCTGCAGATTATTCCTTTACACACTCATTGTGTGTATTTTTGGCAACAGTAGCCTCAACATCCAAAGAGGGTTGGAGCATCATCGGTTTTGGGTTGAAATTGGGAAAACCCTAGGGCCTCGAAGGCCTTCCGAATAGCGTCCAGAGGGAGGCGGCCATTAGGGTAGGTCCCAACCAAAGAGTAACAGAAATTGGAGGATAGAACCTGATCCCATCTTGCTAGAAGGAAACCCCAGAAAGCCTTTGAATCTCCCACAAGGTTTGACGGGAAAGTTACGGTCGCCTTATGTCCGAAAAAGATAGAGTTCTGAGCACAAAGAAGCCCATCCACACGCAGGTGTCAGGTGAAAAGCTAGAGTGGTGGAATTAAGAGAGAAGGTAGAGCGTCTGACCGTGAAAGGCGAAGAAATGGAAGAGCTAAACGAAAGAGATATTATGTCACTCGAAAAAGCCCATCCGCACACAGGAACAGGAACAAACAAGAGCAAGCATTTTTCCCAACCACAGAAAAAATCAGAAAGGAAGGAAGAAGACGGTAACTGGGCATTTAGTTTTCTCAGCGCTAAAATGAAGTTCCGTTGAGCACTGTATACACGGAAACAAGCCACCTAACTGGCTTAGACATTTTATATATATAGTAAGATATTGTATATATATATATATATATATATATATATATATATATATAGAGAGAGAGAGAGAGAGAGAGAGAGAGAGAGAGGGGGGGGGGGAATGATCAGGTCCATCCAGAGGGACGGGAGCCTCCGTCCGAACTTTGACGTTTGGGGCGGTTCCCGGTGGAATTTTTTGATGATGTGTTTTGAGCATGTTCCTCATCAAGTCTAGTTTACCCATACCAAATTTCAGCTCAAAATTCGATCGGGAAGGCAGTCAAATCATTTTTTGAAGTTGACTGCGCCAAACAATACATATAAAAACGCAGTCAACTTCAAAAAATGATTTGACTACCTTCCCGATCGAATTTTGATCTGAAATTTGGTATGGAGAAACTAGACGTGATGCGGAACATGCTCAAAAAATTTCATTAAACAATTCCACCGGGAACCGCCCCAAACGTTGAAGTTCGGACGGAGGCTCCCGTCCCTCCGGATATATATATATATATATATATATATATATATAGAGAGAGAGAGAGAGAGAGAGAGAGTACACTTCCGGTCAGGTATACCTGACCGGAGCCCCGTCCGGCCTCCTCCATTTGGGGGCCTTCCCGGTGGTATTTTTTGCTCACATATTTTGTGTAGGATCCTCATCAAGTCTAGAATTGATGAGGCACATGCTCAAAAAATACATTTTCCGGACCAGTTAACTTGCAAAAATCATTTGACGACCTTCCCGATCGAATTTTGAGTTGAAATTTGGTATGGACAAACTAGACTTGATGAGGAACATGCTCAAAAAATTTCATCAAAAACTTCCACCGGGAAGGTGCCCAAACGGGCTCGGCCAGACGGGGCAGCCCGTCAGGCCGGCCTGATGAGAAGAGCCCTATATATATATATATATATATATATATATATATATATATATATATATATATATATATATATATATATATATATATATATATATATATATATATATATATATATATATATATATAGACAAATCTTCATGTCAGGCCGGCCTGACGGGATGCTCCTTCCGGCCGAGCCCGTTTGGGCACCTTCCTGGTGGAATTTCTTGATGCAATTTTTGAGCATGTTCTTCATCAAGTCTAGTTTGTTCATACCAAATTTCAGCTCAAAATTCGATCGGGAAGACATTCAAATCATATTTTCAAGTTGACTGCAGTTTTATATGTATATTTTGACGCAGTCAATTTCCAAAAAATGATTTGAATGCCTTTTCGATCGAATTTTGAGTTGAAATTTGGTATGGACAAACTACACCTGATGAGGAACATGCTCAAACAATTTCATCAAAAAGTTCTACCGGGAAGGTTCCCAAACGGGCTCGGCCGGATGGAGCATCCCGTCAGGCCGGCCTGACAAGAAGACCACTCTATATATATATATATATATATATATATATATATATATATATATATATATATATATTTCTTTAAAATTTATTGCCAGGAAGAATATATTTATATTAGTAAGTAGTAACAAAGGAAATATAAAGAAATTGAAATCCTAAAAATTCAATACTTGTTAAGTTAAATTAAAAAATATCAAATACGGAGTACTAGTTATGCGAGAATTTAAAAACTATAAAAGGGTATGCGACAAAAATACTCATTGTATAAAAATAAAGATCTACATAAACCTTTTGATTAATTATTTGTAATTAATGACTACTAATTGTTAAATATTGTATTGAACTTCACATAAAATATATGTTTCAAAATTTTATTTGAATATTTATTATAGAAATAAATACTGATTTGCCATGGTTGTAATTTTTTAATTGCAATTATAATAATGTTGGTAGTAAAAGAATAATATTCAGGATAATAAAATTCAAAACTATGTTTTCATATTTTGGCCCGTGGGCCAACTGGCAACCCGGTGAGTCAACCCACTTAAACCCGCAACCCGTGTGGGTTGACCAGCGAAACCCGCGAACTAATTGTGTCAGAATTTTTTAACCCTAACCCACCTATAAATGGGTTTAAACGGGTTAACCCACGGGTTTCGACCCATTTTGACGGCTGTAATTGAAAGTGTATAAGTAATAGCTGTGCCATTATTTCATATTCTATTACATAATAATAAAGGAATTAACGTTACATATTAATTTTGGTCATTACATATATGAAAACGATTATTGCCATTTCTATGCAGTAGAGGATGTGAAAATATAGCATCGATCCTCATGCATGACTTGTCCCAATTCAAGAAGAAATGAGTTGTACCAATTCCATGTACAACTAATTGTTTGCTTCCATATCATCCTGTCATTTTGGTCACCTCATCATTTTTCCTTGTGAGAATGAATACTGCAAAAAAAGCTTACTTGGATCAGCATAAGAGTATAAACTACAAAGTCTTCCGATTTTGGCAAAATATAATTAAATGTACGAACTCATCATATACAATGCCTCAGCCTAGTTTATGACGTTAACCAATTAGGATATGCATGGAAGTGGTATCGTCTGAGCCAATTAAGATAAAACAAACTATCAATATTGAGCCAAATGTAATATTTTTTACTACATACTATATTACCAAAAAATGCTCTGACCCAAGCCTACTCAAGATCCTCTTCCCTCACCTTTTATGAGTGAGGTTCAAATTTTACAAAAAGTCATTGCAAAAAAGAAAAAAAAAACGGTGTAGGAAGTAGTACTTACTGTAAATAAACGCTGCGAAAAGCTCATATATGAACTTAATCCAAGTACTAGCCCACCCCACATCAATCATAAACCTGGATAACCGAAGCAACTGTCATTCCTGAGTCCTGACTACATTGTTCTGTGCATATTCATTTTCAGAGAGAGAAATAAAAATAAAACGAGTATATCATATCGACTGGGTATTTTCTTCAAATACGGGAAAAGCCATCACACAAGGCAAAATAACCGGAATTTGTTTAGGGTTTATGGGAATACGTGATTCGGAAAGTTGCAATCAGAATGAGATAAAGAAAACAAAAAAAATGTCATTTGGAATAGACAATTCCGAATGAGGGCAATAAAATAGGTACAGGGTGGGGGAAGTACATACTAAAGAAATAAAATAAGTCAATGATCAAATTTGTAAATGAAAATGCTAACAAACATTAAAATGGAATTGTTGCAACTAAAGAACGGGTGAAGTACATACTAAAGGTATTATTTATCACAAAGACAAAATCACAATATATATAATCAAGACAACCATTTATGGCTTACTTCGTCGGATTTTTGGTGTTCCAATTGACTAATAGCATTGCAGAGTACATGGAGGCGGTCGCAAAAACAAGATGAAAGAATCCATAACCATATGGAACATTATCATCTCGGTGCTCCTTTATTTTGAACTACATATATAATTAAGAGAAAATAATATAATCATGAAGAGCCCATTTCATTTGGAGAATGTTTAACAATTTTTATGTAAATCCACACAATCAAATAGATAAAGAAAATATGTTGGGCTACGTACGTAAAAGAATCAAAGTAGAAATAAAAAAAGAATATGATTATTTATTGAATATGAATTGTAGCTGCAAGAATGAAGGTTCGCAAGTGAGTATTGATTAGGGGTGGGCACGGTCCGGGACAGGACGAGAATTGGGTTGTACCGGTACTGAACCCGGTTTATAATAATGATTCGGAATGGGACGGGACAAGATGTTATCCTTTTGTTGTCCCATTTAAACCGGTACCGGACAAAACGGGATGGTTCGGGACATCACAAAACTTTGTAGTGAAAAAATTACAATCGCAAAAATAAAGCAAAACTATTTGAAAACAAAACTAGCGCAAGAAAACTCTATGACAAAAAACTGCAGCTAATCTAGAAAATTGTGAGAGAGAAATGCAACTTATCAGTTTAGCTGAAAGAAACAAAAGTTGGAGCAAAAAAACTCTAACATAATAAACTTTCAAGAAATCTGTAAAAAAAAGTGATAAAAGAATACTATAGGAAAAGAAACCTTTGGGAGTAAAAATCAATTTTTTTTGTAGATAGATAAATAGTTCATACTATGTGATACTAGGTAGTTTAGAGTTTTTAGGTGTTCTTTTGCTAAAAAACTAAAATTTTAACAATCATTGATATTTGAGATGTGAAAAAGGATAATTATTATTATTTGGATTACATAATCAGTTGTTGGTAGACTCACTAACCATGATATATTTTACTTGTCCGGTCCCGTTTTGTTTTGAAACGGTTGGAGACTGGTACGAGACACAAATAATGTGTCACAAATATAACAGGACAATTTCAGAACGGAACCGGAACATTCCGGAATGGACAGACCGGATAGGATCTTTTGCCTACCCTTAGTATTAATAATGGGTGGTTTCCTCTTGTTGATTAGGATCTATTTCGTCGACCGGATTCGTCTCAGGCAGTTCGAACTTCAGATTCCAATTGTCTATCTTGTGGACACCTAGGCTAAGGGACTAACAACATATTTTACCTCTTTCACACCCTTACTCACCTAGCTTAAAAAAGAAGTGGTTTTCTCTTCCTCTCAAAGGCTTCACAGAGATGCTTCATATGTACAAAAAGATAAAAGAAGGGTGGCAAACTAAAAACACTGGAACATACAAATTAAAGGAGTGGAAGACTGTCTCAATAATACAAATTAGCTTGAAGCTGGACAGACAGATATGCAGAGGACACACAATCACACACCTCACTTATTTGCTCAATAATGAGCAGAGTTTAAAACCAAATGGGAGAAACGGACTAGGTACAAACCAAGCTTGGTAACTGGAATAGGAGTAGTGGGCTACTAAATAGGACATCAACAATTATTAATATAAAATATCATTTGAGCCCATAATATATTAGCAATCTCCACCCTTGGTCCAAGGCATGACACTCAGACATTTCACGGAACTGCGGACTCATCATTGCTGAATAATTACAAGTATAATCACAAAGACAATACAAGTAATAGAGAGACACAAAGTACTCTCGTGATAAGATCACCAAGCATACCGAGTCCATAAAGGACTGAACTCTACCATAGGGTCCTGGAGTTCAAAGCGGAAATCATCATAAAGCTATTAACAAACACAAGGTATGTTAACAGACCACGCAAGCAATCTGTGGCACCGCACCCCAACGTGCTTGAATGTACTATGTGAAAATTTCATAATGATGTATTGAATTCCCTATTATCAACCATGTGTAACACGAGGAATGTTTCATGTAACTAATGTTGTGGCATTGTGTAAAACGAGTAGCGTTCTATGTAACTATTGTTTATTAACCTATCGTTGGAATTCGTGTTTCGTGAGTGAGTTTACAAGTACTTATGTGGGCCATCTTGGTAAGTATAAGAGCCTGATATTATATGAAGAGAAATCATTGTGGACATTAAAAAAATATTGGACCGCTTGTGATATTAATTGGGCTTCTTTCAAATGATATCAGGCTATTTCGACTTTATTGGGCCTCTTTTGAATGCTATTGGGCCAATGATTCAACTCTGCCGGGTCGCTCATGATACTCTTTGAGCATTATAAAAAAAGAAGACGATAGAGACATGGATCACTTGAGAAGAAATTTAGTGATTAAATTAATTTGGATTATTTATTATGTCCAATTATTAATTTAATTATACATTAATTTCTTTAAGGAATGAATCGGTCCTATTGATTTCTCTATTTTTGAGCCCATTATCAAATAGTGGCTCAATATATAAGAGGCATGATCCAATTGATAGAGAGAGCAATGGATCTGGTTAAGAAATATGTCTGTATGCATGAAAAATAGCTATGAACCTTGTTAAAAAAGCCGTCCAAATACATTGGACAAATGCTGATTTTTCTAGCTATTAAATGCAAGCATATAGAGCCCAAAGCCCATTTTGTTTGAGGCCCTAAGCATATGGACGAATTTGCTAAACCCCAAACCATATTTTCACCTCCTCCACACCTATAAATAGGGGTCTCAGTTGAGAGAGAGGAGAGGAGAACTTCCAGTCGAAGAAACGCTTCAGAAAAGTTCTGAAGAGCTCCCGAAAGGCTCAAAAGGATTCTGAAGCATTGGAAGATATCAAGCCACATTTTTTTGTCAAGAATATATGAATAATCCTTTGTGATTTCATCTATTCTTGATAAAATAAATCCAAAAGTTGAAGAACGTTCGAAGATCTGAAGAACGAAGCTCGAAGATTCGAAGATCTAAAGAATAAGGCTTTGAAGATTCGAATATCTGAAGAACGAATCTTTGAAGATTTGAAGATATTCATATGAAGATTAAACCAAGATTCAATTGAAGATCAAGCCATATATCCCGGGAAGCCCTTTAACAGAAGATCAAGCCATATAACGGCCCTTTTGTTGAAGATCAAGCTACTTGAAAACCGGAGGCCCTTCAAGCTGAATTCTTGATTCAAGAAGATTTGAAGATCTGAAGAACGAAGATTCGAAGATCTCAAGAACGAAGATTCGAAGACCCGAAGAACGTTCAAATATTTGAAGAATTAGAGATTTAATTTTTAATTAAATTCTTTAATTATATTCATATCAAATTACAAGTGAAGAATCAGAAGATACATATTTAGACATTGTACCCAATATTATCATATATTATTATTTGCGATCAATTTTAAGTGAATACATAAAATTTGTTTCACAATCACATTATGAAAGCACAAACAATAAGACTCAATTTTCCACCGTAAGGAAGTATCGGTAAATATTTTCCTTCCGTTTTGATCTAGACCAAGGGAGGTGCGTCCCACACCTCTTTGGCACTTGCAAGGCAAGGTAAATGGAGTGTAAATACTAGTTTGGGCGGACCATGATGAAGTGGGCTTGATTAGAGAATAAAATGATAAGGTATGGATCAGACCCCATTTGTATTTTAATTGGGAGATATGGTAGGGAATCATCCACATCTCACTCATCCCACTCCACAAAAAGGGAATAACCTTTTAGGAGGCCTAAGGGGCATCCTTAGTACCCCCATTCGGACTTCCTTAGCTTCCAAGAGATGAGAACCGCACAAAACCAAAGAAATAAATAAAGAAAAGAGAGAGCTGTCTGCAGGTTTTCGTCACTGTGCGTAGGGTTGATTGTTCAGCCCATATCTTGAGCTTCACTCATTCAAATCAGGCGTGTGAGGTGTCTAAAGAAACATCTAAAGACACGGATTCTGGAAAGGTGTAGATCGCAACGATCGGAGTTGTGGAAGTCTTCCAAATCTGTGTTGGAAATTACGAACTCGCAGGAGGGTCGTTCTTCTCTAAAGGTGAGTTGAACCCAAAAACCTTCTTTTCCTTACATAGATCGTATGTACGGTTGAGGGGACTATTCTACCATATTCCAAGAGTATAATAGATTCTTGAAATGCTAAATATATGAGTTTAAAGGTTAGGCACTAAACTAGAATGAACCTTGAACGGTTAGGAAGTGAACTTGCCGGAAAATACCCTTTCTAAGGGGCTGTTTCGTTTCGTTGGCAAAGGGTTGAGCTAGCTGCTGTGAGAAGGCTGCTGATCACCCATCTTTAAGCAAAGAGTCAGCTCCCAACCTTCCTTGGCCGAGGCTTGATCGTTGGAGCGTGAAAGGGAAGTCTAAAGCTCATTAAGGTGAGGACCGACATGTAGTTGATTACAACTTGTAGGTTATGCATGAGATTACCTAAATGCTTAAATCATGTTTTCTTGAATACAAATGCTTGAACATGATATCAATGATAAGTAATGGACTCGAATATGAATCGAAACCATATTGATGAATATGGAGTTAAATGAGGTATAAATGTGCTATTATGATAAAATAGGCATTTCTAACTCATGTATGAATTACATGGTTATGTAAATAAATATTTGCATGATGAAATTGAACACAAGAGAGGCTGCCACATATCACTAGATATGTAGGGGCTTACATTTATGAATAAATGAGTTGTAAGAATAATCTTGATAGTAAAGGAATACTAGTTAAGGATTGTTCAAATTAAAATTGTTGATAGAATAAAACCTAAGGTTTGGATTGTATTGTGATATACTTGAATGGACTTCGAAAGTAAAATGTGATTTAGTGAGAACTAAGATCAAGTTAGAGGCAGTCCATAGAGATGCTCCAAGGTAGTTAATGATTTGACAATTCTATGCATAGTAAATGCTTAGGAATTGGGGTCTATGCCAAATGTAAATTGATTATGAGTGGTACTCTAGAATTTGCATTGGGTAGACATAAGAATTGGGGTCCATGCCAATGTAAGTTGATTATGAGTGATACTCTAGAATTTGCATTGGGTGGACATGAAATTGTGCTTTCATGGAAAAGTAAGTTGAGCCGCGCTCTTGCCATGAAAGTGCGATTACATGAAAACGCAAGTAAAGCCAAG